ATTCGTAAAAACACCCAAGCAGCTTGTAAGGACATCACATTATACCCTTCAATGGGTTTCATATTTATTAGTTGTCTGACATAATATATCTATGGGAAAGGTGCTCTGAACTAAACGATGTAATTGTAAAGGTGATTCAGGAACAAAGAGATTTGGAGTGTACACATACAAATTTTCAAATGTGGCGGGAAAAGTGATAAAGATGCTAAAATACATGGTAACTTTGGCTTCATAAATTGAGAAATAATACACAAAAGCAAGAAAGTTATGATAAACCTTTATAAAGTCTGGTATATCTCAGATGGAACTTTAGGCTGGATTTTATCCTGGTCTTCCAGAACCCAATCTCAGAATTGAGTAGGTCCTATGAGCACACACTTGATCGAACAGTACCCATGTCTGACTTACTGCCTCCGTTATCTGTTTGATACAGTGGGTTCAATCAGAAAGCTACCAGCTCTGGAGCCTTGGCAGCCATGATGAGAGAGATGGACACTGCTGAGGCAATGTGGGAATTGTGAAAGCCCAACACAGAGACACCTTCAGATATATTCATGCTATTACAAACTGAGGAAAATTTAAATTGTTAAGGTGCCTCAAATGGAGCAAAACCTTTCCATTCATAACCCTGTAATTGGGGCTTGGAACCTCTGGTTCTGTTCTCTGGCAGTAAAATACAAGCAAGGCTGCAAATTCATACCTAATCGGGGACTTAATCAATTTAATTGCTTGCCTCCTTCTATGATGTGTATAGCTTATTTTGTTCCCCAACAGGCCTTGGAAAACATCCCCTTCAGTCGGAATGCATTGGGAAGGATCTTGACATGGCTTACCACTATTTTTCCATTTCTACCCTATCCCTGCCTTCAGCCCCATTTCCAAGAACAGATAAATTTTGGCCCATTGTGTTCAATTCTGGCACCACATTGCATAACCACAATCTTCCTGTCAAGATTAATTGGAATAGCACCAGGTTTGAGAGACTTTTACATAGACAAATTGGGGAAGCTGGGCATATTCTCCTCAGGGCGAAGAAAAATAACTGAAGATTTAATAGAGGTCTTTCAAATCTTAAAGGCTTTGACACAGCAAATGAAGTCAAAGTGTTTTAATTGGCAGAATGGAATCCAATAAGCACAGCTTTAGGTAGAACGACTAGTTACTTAAAGAATTTATTTTTATGCAAAGTGTTATTGTGATTTGAGTAGCACAGCCTCAAAGGATTATATAAGCAAGTTCAGTAATGAAATTCAAAAGTGCATTAGATAAATATTTGAAGGGAAAGCTGTTCACAGGCTATGGGAGAAAAAGCAGAGGAGTACACCTAACTGAGTATCTTCTTCAAAGAATCGGCACAGGCATGATGGTTCAAATGCAGCTCTGTATTATATCATTTCATGATAAAAATAAAGAAATCTCTTTCAAAATATTGAGAAACGCATTGGGTTTCAAATGTTAGGACAGAAAAAATCAGGGAGCTGTTGTAAAAGAAATTCGAGTCTAACTCAACAGCTTTTGGACCTGCAGAACAATCACAGGAGTTGATCCCCAACACCCCACATCTCCCAATGTTACACATTTTAAAACTTGCTTCAGTGAAAGGATAGCACCTTTCACATCTTGTTTGTCCAGTCTCTCAATGCACTCTTCCAATTGAGGAAATCAGATTTGAATTAACCCTTAATATTGCATTGACTTCGTAATAATCAATACAGTCTTTGTGACCCATGTAGTTCTGTCACCATCACAATAAGTGAGCTCCAACTCTCCAGCTATTGTCACTCAGTTCAGTAATATCATTGTTCATCTTGAATTTATCTTCTCTCCTCACTTGAGTTAATCTTTCTGGATTGAGATTGTAGTCATGATGTTTCATGGCTAAAACAACCGCTCCATTAATAGCATGGCCTATTTACACATATCAATTTATGAGTCTGTGTTTGCTTTAGAAGTCACTTTGATATTTTTCTGGAGATAGCATAATATTCCATTTAACTTTTTACTCAATATTATTCAATCTGATTACTAGAGGATCAACATTTCAATTTCAATTCATTTTCAAATTCTTCTGATACTTTTATTTCACTTCCTATTTTTTCACCACTGCAAACACACTTCTACGCTATCTTCCTGGTCGATAGTATCTCAATAAAATATTAATATGATACACATGCTGAATTTTCCCCATTTACAGAATTCTTGACATAATTCACGTCATTGCATTTCTTTTTGATTTGGTAAGGTCCAATGAACTGAGCTTTTAATAGTCTCTCAGAGACAGGTAATAATGCTAAAACATTGTCTCCAGTAACAAAAGTCTGAGCTTTGACATTTTTATGTGCTCTCATTTTCAGTTTGGCCAACTCACAACCTTTGGTTCATTTTTTTCAGAAACCTGACACTTCAGTCAATAGTGTAGTCTTTGAGTTTTGATGTATAATTTTTTCTTTCATCAATTTAAGGGATCCACTCACTTAATGCCTTTTACAGTTCAAATCCTGTGGATTCATTAGAGGCAACCCTAATAGCAAATGATAAAAAGTAGCCTTCAATCAAAGCCATGAAGACATTCTTGACAATTATGTCTAATTATGATCTGTCATGCTTGATGCTGTCTTTACATTGGTCCTTGAATCTGCGGATGATAAGGTAAAGACATAAATTATTTAATTTCCAAAAAATTCAATATTTATTTGAATATTTATGATATAAAATTTATTATATTACTTTCAGTAGTCAGTGTCTTATAAAAAATTGAGCTAACTTTTCCACTGCTGTTTGTTGCCATAATTTTTCCTAATGGCACTACCTCAGGAATACTTGTTAAAACATCCATTACGGTCAAAAGATAAACTGAAACCTATTACTGATTATTGTGTAGCATGCCTACCTATTTTTTAAGGCTCACAAATGCAAGTCCAGGCAACTTGTCATGGTTGCTAGCGATGGACGGCAAAGGGTGTGGAAATTTTGCTGTACTGCACCGACCTGTGTCAATGTAACATCTATACCATATACCAGCAGCTTAAGTGGCAAGTACACAAAATGGTGTTTGAACTAAATAGCCATGTTTCAAAGCTTAAGAGGATCATTCCTCAATCAAGGGGGCTATTGTCATTCTGACACACTCAGTGAAGAATGTCATCCAATTTTCAACCCAGGGCCTGGGACATGGTCACTCACTGGGTTGGTCGGGAGTTTCATATTTTTACAGTCCAGGGGTCAGGTCATGGTCAGTCCTGAAATTCCACTGCATCCAGTCTGGGCTGTAGTCGCAAGTCAGGCAGGAAGCTGATACAAATATCATTCAGAGGTGGAGCACAATTGGGGCTGTCATTCCAGTTGGTCAGGGTTTCAGCTGATCATTCAAGTTAAAGGGATATGATAGGGATAACTTCTGGGGTGGGCCAGTTGCAGAAGTCAATTGTAGGGTTTGGAGGCAGCATGCTGGGATGCAGAGGGGAAAATAATTTTAACTGGGGACATCTCAACATTTAAGGGAGCAGACAATGTTGGATATGAGAATGCATGTTACTATGGGATGCATAATCATCGATGGTCAATACCACCATGTTTTTGATTGGGGACAGGGTAAGGGGTTGGTGGTGAAGAACAGTATATCACAATGGTTGGCATAACTAAACTGTAGGCTTGGGGCTCAGGGTAATTTGGAAAGATGAAGATTGTAAGAGACCACATATTTCATTTTTGGGACAGTGAACTGAAATAGAATTTGTGTTGCTATAACTGAAAAACAGGAACTGAATTGTAGTGTTAATAAGCTGTAAGTGTCAAGAGCAGAAGAATGAATGAAGTATCCAGAGACTAGAGACCAGAAGCATCCATTTCTCACTCTCTCTCTTTCTCACTCTCTTTTTCTCTTTATGGGGAAAAGACAGAAATACCAAGAAAACTTTAAGGAAAATACACAGAAGAAGAAAATCTAAGTTCACCTGATCAACCACTGAATTGAAGGACAATTGTCACCCTATAGATAACAGCATATCATAATTGCAAAAATCAAAAACACATTGAGGAAACTGTACTTTTGATATTTGGAATTTTGTTTACCTTGTCTATTATTATGCCAGTGTTATAGTGTTAAACAGTTTGCCCTTTTTCTGTCTTAATCCTGATTGATTGTATTCATACTTGGAGTGTTGAGCAGGCATAGTTTAGGTTGCATCTATGAGAAATTCTTTCTTTTCACTTGTTGAAGTTGTGTGCTCCAATAAACGTGTTTTTTTTTTCTGTTACTGAGTACCAGCCAGTCACGCAATTGTTCATTTTGATGGTCTTAGTGGGATTTCATACATTTGTACATTTTAAGATGGCTTGTGGAACTGTGGGCCATGATTATAAGGGCACTGTTCATTAATCAGGCACTATGGTATCAAGGTTAAAATATCTGTAATCATAGACTGCTGCATGAAACGCATGAAGTGATGATGTGGAATACAATTCCTGGCCACTTGACCATGTAATTAGTCAGATTGATCACAATCATATCTTTGAGGCGGATATAATTACAGGCAAACTTCAAAGTGTCACCAGTCTCAGAGGCTGCACCAGGGCATGAAGCTGGTTTCCTCCCACCTTCCACCTTAAGTATTTGACAACATATTATTTGCAAAGCTGCCTTTGTTGAATCACATTGGGTTTGAAGGACATGTTATCAACAGTCTATCAGCATTTACCATCTCTTACTGTATTGATATCAAATCCCGGAGTGGATCTGAACGCACAACACGCCGGACTGCTACTAACTGAGTTTATTCCTAAGCGAGCACTATCTGGTGGTACATCTTCAAAATGCAACTCATCTGTCAACATGGAACAAAAGCAGAAAATCAACAGAAACGCCCTTCAGTTTGGAGCTGGGCGCACGCGCGCCGTCTACAAACGGTCAGCCTGCAGCGTCCGTGTCACCATGACAACCGCCGAGGTTCCTCTGAGAGCGGCGCTCCTCGCGCTCTGATTGGTTCAATGGGCAACAAGTGCAAAATGGAGGTTGAGGCTGTGAGGTGTTGTTCACAAATGGAAAGGATTGTTTCTGTGCATTTCCTCCATTAGATTCTTACAAAGCTTTCTGAACGTTTTGCAGCATGTTCAAGAACGAGTATCAGGTAATGTTCCAATACTGTGCTCTTTGGAAATCACGAGAATAATACACAACGTACCTTATTCATGAAGGAAGTTTCAACCACAACATACATTTATCAGTTATGTTAAGGCAATGGCATCATGTTTAAGAGCTAACCGGTCGTGACCTTTTATTTTACCCACTGCAATGTTTTATCCTTGCACACTAGAACTTTTCTCTGTAGTTAGTGTTGGGTGTTTCCATGAGCAGTCACTGCTTTGTCAGTTTCCTTCACTTCTGTAACCCTGTGTTTGTCAACTACTTGCTTTTTCAAAGCGGAAAACAAACCTATGGCTTTTTTTTAAAAGGGAGGACCATTTGTAGAAATCTTCAGCTCACAAGGTAAAGATCCAGTTGCAAAATGGAAGCTTTGCGGCAGTCCAGCGGTCCAAAAAGTAAGTTACTAGTTATCAATAGTGCTGAAATTTATTGATTTTTTTTCTTTATAAAGAGTTAGAAGGGTTTTCGAAATACATACTTTAAACCTTTTTATTCACCAACAGTGTGGATTTACAATTGGATCCCAATGCGTTTCAAATTTATAGAATGTTGCAAACTTTGTAAGTGAAAAATAATCCAAAAGCAGATGCGTTCTCCGATTATCATGAGAAGAGTTATTGGTGGAAGAAGGAATAGGAGCGGTTTGAACAGTGGGGGGAAAAAAATCAACAAAATAAAGAAAACCAAAGTAAATTACGGCCGATGCTGGAAACCTGAATCAAAAGCAGAAATTACTGAAATATTGTCATCAGGAACCATCTTTCATAAACGAAGTTCACGTTTCAATTTGATAATTGTTCATTGAATTGGATAATAAGAGTTTGGTCATCAGAATTAAGATCATAAAATACCGACATTATTTATAATGTGATGCCTTTGGTGATCACAGGATGTAGATACTGCTGTTATGTCATTTTCACGTCGTCTTCTTGAAAAACAGCACTATTTACATCCATAAACATCTGCGTAGCCAAAGAGACAACTGCCACACTGCTGGACGAATCAGGATGGCAAACACCCCACAACACCAACAGTATCAACAAGGACAGCACCCTGACACTGCTGGATCTGTGCCTCACAACCCACTTCAACAACTGTATATTCAAACAAATCAATAGAACACCAATGGGATCCCTAATATTAGGACTGATTGCAGAAGCAGTAATGCAAAGGTTAGCATGGGCAGTGCTTCCCCCACATACAACCCAAACTCTGGGTCTGCGATGTAGATGACACCTTCATTTTATCAAACGCACAAGACTAGAAGAAACCCACTGACACATAAACAACATCCTCGCCGGAATAAAATTCACAAAAGAGAGCAATAATCGACTACCCTTCCTCGACATAATGGTAGAAAGTAAAAACAACAGGGATCTCCAGACTAGCGTATACAGAAAGACCACGCTTATGGACCAGATACTTAATTACACCAGCAACCACCCCAACACCCATAAACGGAACTGCATCAGGACATTATTCAAACGAGCTACAACACACTGCAGCAACCCAGAATTACGCAAAGCAGAATAGGAGCACTGAAATGGAGTTTTTAAAAGGAATGGACACCCAAAAAGCACAATCCACCATTACCTCCACGACAGACCACAACAAGAAGACACAACCTGGCCATACACAGTAGTCACCCTACTGTTCATCAGAGACAATAGCAGAGATGACCACAAGACTGCTAAGACCCCTAAGTATCAGGATAGCCCACAAACCAACCGCCACCCTGCAACAGCGACTGACAAATGTAAAGGATCCCATATCCACAACCAATTAAAATAACATAATATACAAAATACCATGCAAAGTCTGCAAGAAATGTTACATAGGCCGAACTGGAAGAAAACTGACAATAAGGATACACAAACACCAACTAACCAACAAAAGACATGACCAATTCTCACTGGTATGAATACACACTGACAAAGAAGGACACAAATTTGACTGGGACAACACATCTGCAATAGCACAAGCCAAACAAAGAAATGCCAGGAAATTCCTGGAGGCCTGGCATTCCAACCAGAACTCCATCAACAAACATATTCATTAGACCCAATATACAAACCACTGAAAAACAGAACCAGAAGTGATGCCAACCATCCCAGCAAACTGAGGCATATAAATAACAAGTGGGACAGAACACCAACACTTCACCGGAGGCGCACTGATGATGTTACCTAGCAGGGTGACGAAACGTCTGCAATCAAACACACGAGCTTGGCGAGCAAGTCTGCAACCTCATGTCAAAGGTTGAACGGTTTCCCACTCGTCCTGTTGGTTTACTTCACTCTGGCAGTGTTCTACATGCAGATAGGGTGGAGTGTTGAGGGAGGAAGATAGACAAGAGTGTTGGTGCAATGCCACAGTCGAATTTGATTCCTCTTTGCACATGTATTTGGTCTGTAATCGATCTGTTGGTCAGACAGTTGCACATCAAAGACCAAGAGCCAATCTATGCCAGCTGGAGGGAGCACTTTGAGGATCTCCTGAAACAAGGCACAGCCTTTGACACAAGTGCTGTCAACACCATCACGTTACACGTTACCTGTCGTATTCTCAGTGCACCACCAACCTACTGTGAGATCAAAAAATCCATTCAACAGCTGAAAAATAACAAGGCCCTCTGGCACAAATAAAATCCCTGAAGCATCAAAATACTGCAGAGGTGCACTCTTGACTTGAATCCATGACCTAATTTTCTTGTCTTGGAAGGAAGATAACATGCCAGGAGATCTCTGAGATGCCATAATTGTGACCATCTTCGAGAAATGAGACTGCTCTGACTGTGGAAATTAGAAGGATTTTCCTACTCTCCATCACAAGAAAGATCATCTTGAGAATCTTCCTTTGATTATCACCTCTTTGTGGTTGAAGAGCTCCTTCCTAAGTCTCAATGCACCTTTTGCCTATCAAGAGGCACAATGAACATGATTTTCCATTTGACAAATCCAAGAAAAGTGCAGGGAACGGAATCAACTCTGTACATGGCCACCTTCTATTTCTTGAAGGCATTTGACCTTGCCAACTATAACAGATTGCAGCAATTTGTCACTATTGTCTGCTTGCGTCACAATGGCATTCAAGCTGTGATGTTCACCAGTCAATAAGATCATGGCTAATCTGATTTACTTCACATTCCTGCCTATCCCTGATGACCTTTCACCCTGTTACTATCAATCTCTGCCTTTAAAAATACAGAATTTCCCATTGGAAGGTGAAATTTTTTTCCTTAGTCGTTCATGAGGCTTTCAAACTCTTTCCACTGCCTTTTCAGGAAGAGAGTCTTTTGAATATTTTGAAGATGGGGTGGATAAGTTCTTGGTGAGCAAAGGGTGAAGGGTTAGTGGAGCTACGAAGAATGTGTATTTGTGGTTACAATCAGATCAACCATGATCTTATTAAATGGCATACTGGAGTTGAGGTGCCAGACAGCCTATTCCTGTCCCTTGTTTGAATGTATGTATCTCAGTGCTCTGCAATTTCTCACAATTTGAATAGGCTAAAAAAAAATTCTTCCTGTCAAAATTTATAATTTCACATTTTCCCATGGTATAGTCTGTTTCCCAGATCTTTGCCCACTCATACAACCTGCCTATATCTCGGAGGTTGTAGACTTGCTCGCTGAGCTGGTGTGTTTGATTGCAGATGTTTCATCGCCCTGCTAGGTAACATCGTCAGTGCGCCTCTGGTGAAGCGTTGTTGTTCTGTCCTGCTTGTTATTTATATGCTTTGGTTTGCTGGGGTGGTTGGCATTACTCCCGGTTCTGTTTTTCAGTGGTTTATATATCGGGTCCAGTTCATTGTGTTTGTTGACAGGGTTCTGGTTGGAATGCCAGGCCTCCAGGAATTCACTGCCATGTCTTTGTTTGGCTTGTGCTATTATGGATGTGTTGTCCCAGTTGCATTTGTCCTTCTGTGTCCGTGTGTATTGAGACCGGTGAGAATTTGTCGTGTCTCTCGGTGACCAGTTAGTGTTCGTGTATTCTTATTGTCAGTTTTTTTCCCAGTTTGGCCTATGTAACATTTCTCACAGTCCTTGCATGGTATTTTGTATAATACGTTAGTTTTATTGGTTGTGTTTATGGGGTCCTTTACGTTCATCAGTAGCTCTCACAGAGTGGTTGTTGGTTTGTGGGCTACCCTGATACCTAGGGGTCTGAGTAAACTTGTGGTCATCTTTGATATGTCTGTGATGAACGGTCGGCTGATTAGTGTGTCTGGCCGTGTTGTGTTTTGTTGTGGTCTATTGTGAAGGTAGCGGTAGATTGTGCTTTTTGAGTATCCATTCCTTTTAAAAACTCCGTGCAAGTGCACCTGTTCTGCTTTGAGCCATTCCGGGTTTGTTGTAGCTCATCTGAATACTGTCCTGATGCAGCTCCGTTTATGGGTGTTGGGGTGGTTGCTGGTGTAATTAAGTATCTGGTCCGTATGTGTTGTCTTTCTGTATACACTAGTCTGGAGTTCCCCATTGTTCTTGCGTTCTACCATGATGTCTAGGAAGGATAGTTGGTTATTATTCTCTTCTTCTTTTGTGAATTTTATTCCGGTGAGAATGTTGTTTATATGTTGGTGGGTTTCTTCTAGTCTTGTACGTTTGATAATCACGAAGGTATCATCTATATAGTGGACCCAGAGTTTGGGTTGTATAATGGGGAACACTGTCTGTTCTAACCTAACCTTTGCATTACCGCTTCTGCAATCAGTCCTGATATTGGGGATCCCATTAATGTTCTGTTGATTTGTTTGAATATAGGGTTGTTGAAGGTGAAGTGGGTTGTGAGTCACAGATCCAGCAGTTTCAGGGTGCTGTCCTTGTTGATGCTGTTGGTGTTGTGGGGTGTTTGCCATCCTGATTCGTCCAGCAGTGTAGCAGTTGTCTCTTTGGCTACACAGATGTTTATGGGTGTTATCAGTGCTGTTATGTTGAAGGATATCATTATCTCATCCTCTTTTATTTTGGTGTCCTTGATGATGTTGAGGAATTTTTGGGAGGAGTGGATGGAGTGGGTAGTGTTGTCAACTGAGTATTTCAGTTTCAGTGATAGTAGGAACTGCAGATGCTGGAGAATCTGAGATAACAAGGTGTAGAGCTGATGAACACAGCAGGCCAAGCAGCATCAGAGGAGCAGGAAAGCTGACATTTCGGGCCTGGACCCTTCTTCAGAAAGACCCAACTTCAGTTGTAATTTTTTGGCTAGTCAATAAGTTAGTTTGCCTGGTAGTAAGAGAATGGGTCTGAGGGGGACCCCTGGCTTGTGTACCTTAGGAAGTCCATAGAAAGCGGGGTGTGTTGGCTTCCTCTGGCTTCATTTTTTGGCAGTCTTTCTTGCTGATATCTCCTGAGTTGTATAATTTCTTCAGGGTTGTTGTAATCTGGTTCTCTAACTGTGGTGTTGGGTCTATCGCCATCTGCTGGTAGGTGTCAGTATCTGCTAGTAGTGTGTTGGCTTTCTGGATGTATTGGGCTCTATCAAGGATTACTGTCATGCGTCGTTTGTCTGCTGGTAAGGTTACGATGTTTCTGTCTTTCTTGAGTCTTTCCAGGGCTTTCCTCTCTTCTGTGTTGAATGTGTTCCACTTACCTTTTCTGCTCAGTGTTGGGACTATTGTCTGTCTGGTCTGTTGTATTTCCTCCGTGTGTCCGTTGCTCTTTAGTGTCGATTCCAGCGCAGCTAGGAAATCAGTTTTTTTGGCGTCTCTCTTGTTATAAATCAGCTCGTGTACTAGGATGGTCTTCTCAGGGTCTGTAAGTGGTTGGTCCGAGATGTTCTTGATCCATGTTGCTGTGTTGTCCATGATGATGTTGTGGGTGAGTTTGGACAGTTTTTCTTGTAGAGCTATTCTTTTCTTTGTTCTAGTCTTCTGTTGTTGTATGGTAATGGATTGTTTCCATGTAGTTGTCCGTTCTTGGTTGTGTAAAGCACCTATCAACAATCCACAGGCCTGAAGAACAGCTGCACAGAATGGCCGCAGAATGATAAGGGTTGTGATCAACGATGCCCACAACCACCTCCACAAATGCGAGCGGGAAATTGGAGTACAAAGTGGACTGAATATCCGCAGGAATACATTTAAATCCCTTAATGCCTGTACACTTAACTCCATTTTTAACATCTGTAATCTGTGTCTACAATTCCCCGAGGATCTTAATTGATGCAAGTCAGGCCCATCTCTTCTATCCCGTGATCAATACCAGATTTGGACGAGCCTGGTACAAAGACTAATATCAGTATTTCTCAAGGATGTTTCTTATCAAACTGTCTCTATACAAGCAGCAGCTGCATTTTGTTTCTATTCAACAGGACTCTTTCATATACTCTTTGCAAGACCCTTTTGTGTGCTATCTTAATCTTATTACTTTGGATATACTCCTTCTATAAATGCTGCCTTTGCTGTAGCTAATAATTTAGCTTTAAATATCAAACTAGACAAGCTGCTGTTTCAGCTAAAAGTCTTCCCCAGCCGCTGTCAACTGAGAACCACTTCCTCAAACAACTCCAGTAAATTGATTAGATGTGATCTCCCCTTCAGAAAGCCATGTTGATTCTGCCTGATAATTTTAAACTTTTGCATGTGTCCTGCTATAATATCTTTAGCAAAAGGCATTTATGTTATTAATCTCCAAACTTGGGTGTTGCTTCATCCTGTTCTGTTCCAAAAATATGTTTCACTAGAACTTTTAAGGAACATATATTCAGAAGGTTTTCATGTTGTTTGGTTTACATCTCAAATACCATTTATTGTTTCAGGTTTTTGATAAAGAAGTGAAGAGCTACGTTTATATACTGGAAGGCAGCAGTCAGAGAAACAAGATGCAATTGCCTAAGGACAGCAAACAGTCACGTAAGTTAAGGAGCAACTTGTTCAAAGTGACCCGTTTATTATCACTTGCACATTATGTATACAGAATAACAATCAAGATAGAGGCTTGAAACTAATAGATAAAGCTATAAACACCAATAGTTTATTCATAAATAACTGTTTTGTTGTGTGGTATGAGAAGGTACTTTTATTTTCTGTTTAAGAAAAATCATCGGCAGTGCTTCAACGTTGAGCTATCTCTATGGGAAGAAGGAACTTGCAATTAAATATCAAAGGGTTTCAGATCTTGTTAGTGAAGGATAACCATTGGCATGTAAAATGTGAAAGATTTATATAAGCATTTACATGCCTTCAGAATATGTTTTCAAAGATAACCTTTAAATAAGGAGATGCAATATCTATGTTATATTAATAGTTAGAAATTATTAATTTGCCACCCTTTTATTTGGGAAAAGATGCAGACAAATAAACATGCAGTTTTTTTTTAAACAATTTATTGTGCCCTCATCATCAGAAATGATAACAATGAAATTAAACTAAAGCATGTGAGTTGTTTATACCACTGGATGCAGGCTTCCAGTCACAAAAATACACCTTGACCATTGCCCTTTGCTTCTTGTCACTCTGCCAATTCTGTATCCAATTTGCCAAATTTTCTTGGATCCCCATGGGCTCTTAGCTTCACACCCAGTATCCAGTGTGGGGCCTTATCAAAAGCCTTGCTGAAGTCCTAATAAACTAAATTGAATGCATTGCCCTCATCTACGCACCTGGTTACCTCTTTGAAAAATCCAATAAAATTGGTTAAATGTGACTCCCCTTACCTAACCATGCTGTCTATTCTTCATTACTTCCTGGCTCCCTGAGTGTAGATTAATTCTGTCTCTGAGTTGCTTCCAGCAGTTTCTCCACCACTGATTTTGGACTGACTGGCCTGTAGTTTCCTGCTTTATCTCTTGCTTCTTTTTTGAATAACAGTACCACATTGGCACCTCTCCTGTGGCCAAAGAGCAGTTGAAAATTATTCCCAACACCCCTGCTATTTCCACTCTTTCCTCACTTAGCTACTGGGATACATTTTCATCTAGCCCTGGATATTTATCTACTTATAAGCCTGCCAGACCACTTCGAACCTCATTTCTGTCAATGCTTACGTCTTTAAGTATATCATAGTCCTTCCCCCTTCAATGCTTAAGACTTTTTATTCTGCTAAGTAAGTTAGGACAAGTTGTATTCTGACCTTTAATTCTTTGCCTTTTTTTTTGTTCACTTGGTCTTCATCTTGTTTCTTTTTCTTCATGATGGGTTTCATTTAGCAATTCATTCCTTACTTTGGCACAATCTTTGTTTCTTCACTGTATCCCTTTTTTGACACTGGTCCCACTGAGCCTTTTATTTCTGAGGCCAATAAAGCAGGCTACAATGATCTATTTATACTTGTATAATTGACCCCATAGCATCACCCCTTTTAATGAAAAAGAGAGAGAACTTTTTGCAAAGTTCTGAACAGGACACATAGCTGAACTCTGACTACATGAAGTTCACTCAAGCAAATTGAATACAAGTGAGGCAGGAACAGAGGTGATTGTTTACAAAATTGGTGGTGTAGTGGACAGCCAAGAAGGTTACCTCTGAGTACAACGGGACCTTGGTCAGATGGAGTTTAATTTAGATAAATATGAGGTACTGCATTTTGGAAAGGCAAATCAGGGCAGCACTTATACACTTAATGGTAAGGTCCTGGGGAGTGTTGCTGAACAAAGAGACCTTGGATTGCAGGTTCATAGTTCCTTAAAAGTAGTCACAGGTAGATAGGGTAGTGAAGAAGGCGTTTGGTATGCTTGCCTTTATTGGCCAGTGCATTGAGTGTAGGAGTTGAGAGGTCATGTTGTGGCTGTACAGGACAGTTGTTAAGCCACTTTTCGAATCCTGCATTCAATTCTGGTCTCCCTGCTGCAGGAAGGATGTTGTGAAACTTTAAAGGGTTCAGAAAAGATTTTTAAGATTGTTGCCAGGGTTGGAGGGTTTGAGCTATAGGGAGAGGCTGAACAGGCTGCGGCTGTTTTCCCTGGAGCGTGGAGTGACCTTATAGAGGTTTATAAAATCATGAGGGGCATGGATAGAATGAATAGCCAAGGTTGTTTTCCCATGGTAGAAGAGTCCAAAACTAGAGGGCATAGGGTTAAAATGAGAGGGGATAGATTTAAAAGGAACATAAGCGACAACATTTTCACGCAAAGAGTAGTGCATTATGGAATAAGCTGCCAGAGGAAGTGCTGGAAGCTGTTACGATTACAACATTTAAAAGGCATCTGGATGAGTACATGCATAGAAAAATGTGGGCCAAATGCTGACAAAAGGGACTAGATTAATTCTGAATATCTGGTCGGCATGGATGAGTTGGACTGAAGAATCAGTTTCCGTGCTGTATATCTCTATGACTCAGTGAATCTAATTCACCAAGATGCAGACTGATCAATAAGAATGACCTTTGGGGCAGTTTGATTATGCATGTGAATCTAATCAATCATAAATGGAGACAATTTGATGTAATGAAGTTGTCTACATATTAACCCATGTGAGAGACATCACAGAGACTCTAGTTACTTTTAAGACAGAAGTCTTGAAGTTTATGAGCAGGTAACTGTACATATGCCGTCTGGGTTGTGTGCTTCCTTGTATTACTGTTACAATATGTGTATAGTAGACTGGCTAACTGGCTGTTCAGTCAGTTGTCTGTACAAAGTTATTTGGCAATCTTTTATACTGAGTATCACGTGATGATTCCAGGTAGCTGTCTTAAAAGTCGTTTGTCTTTCAGACTTGTGCAATTACACAATATGTAAGAATCTTGAAAGTATTGGACAAAGATGTGAAAGATTTGGTTCTGAGGAATGGGAAGCTTGGGAGAGGATAAATATGTATGTAGCTTCTACAGCTACTGTAGTTCTGCATTGATCATCTAAGCACCTCCATACTTGTTAAAGTGCCACAATGTGAAAACATTAATAATGTTTTCGGGTGATCACCATGTGTTACTTCAATTTTGGGTGCATTTTTTCACCTAGTGGCGATAGCCACAAACAGATTTGCTTTCTGAAACATTAATCTTGTTTTCTTTCCACAGAAGCTGTCTGAACTCCAAAGTTTATTTTCGAGCCTTTTTTTTTTTGTTTTTTATTTAAAATTTCCAGCATCTGCAGTATTTTGCTTATGTGTTATTGTAGTATGGAAGACATTTGCCTTGTATGTACAGATTCTCTGTGACCCTGGTCACTTTACCAGGGTTATGTTACCAACTTTATACAGTTTTCTCCAAGTTTCACTGCCATAGTACCCTTTGCTCATTTGAACAATGAGAAACATACTTAAGGATGAATAGTTTAAGATATTTTCATATAATCAGTCTCAACCTGGGTCCCAGAGGTAAAACCAGAATTTGTCACTTTACAAGAGCATTCTAAGACAGAGTATGACACTGAGCCACACAAGTAGAGTTTGGTCAAATAGGTAAGTTTGAAGAAGTGCGTTAAAGGAGGAAAGCAAGATAAAGCAATATCAAAATATAACTGTGTTTAATCTTTTAACTTCTTTTGCATTTCATATTACTAAGTTTTTTTTTGGAGATGGCACAAAAATGCATTGGGGCCTGAGAATAAGTATAGTACAAATAGGCTAAATAAATTCAGTTTAATACTTCTAATCTATGATATTTACTCTTGCCAAACAGTGTGAGATTTTGGTTTGCATTCTTTGTAATTTTTGCATAAGACTTTTTAGTAATGAAAATGTTGGCAAAAATCAGGAAGGCAGATGAGAGTGGCTCCACTGAACTCACGTGGTTGACTTGAATTTTTTTTGTGGTAATTTCTTGTATTTACCAAAGTAAAAACGTTCAATAAATTAATCATGAACAAAACCTTTTTTATTTTACTATTTGAAACATATTTTCTTTCAGCTCATTATTATCATCAGACTCAAAGTAAAATGCTACCTAGTGAATATATAAGCAAAGATATTAGTGTCTAGACAATGAAATTAGTTTTCATTAGGTACATTGGAACATAAACACACCAACTTTTGTTGATCAGGCAAGTATTTGAAATAATTAGCAATTCCACAGGCACTTAGTGATGTTTTCTGATAATTGTGTTTTCAAGTTGAGTACTTGACAGGAAAGTATATGCAGTAGGATGAGAAGATGCCTGAATAATAATAGGTGTGAGTTAGGACTGACTGGTTTGTTTGTGTGTTGTTTTCTATACCTGCCCCTGCTTTTAAGATTATCCATGCAAACAAAATTATGAAGGAATAGAAGTGTGAACTGTTACAGCTAGGGGCTAATGAGGCAAAAAAGAGTTCCAGAGGAAACTTATGTTGAAGTAATACCGATGTAATCTGAGCAAAAAAAAAGCTTTAAATTAGTCCAGTAGGGTAGAATAAGGGACAGAAGATGTGGCTTTCAGAGAATTCAGAATGTGAACCAGCAGAAACAATACTATTTTCATCAAAAAATAGTAGCATGCTTCTACACTGATCTGAAATTACTTGTGCTATTAACAATGCATAGATTTTAGTATTTACATGGAAAACAATGAAGTAATAACAGTGCCGTCTGTTTTTATGATATCTCATAGCCACATCCTGGAAGTCAAGCCCCACGATTCCCGGAGTCAACATGAAAGTTAAAAATTTTTATTAAAGTACGCAAAATTCCCCCATTTCCTGTCTTTTAGACCCAGGTTAACAAAAAATACATAAACCAGGTATCTGTACTTAAAAAGAATTGCTATTTATTACAAACAAATAGATTCTAACTGCAGATAAACAAGTATGAACAGTTAGCGTATAAGTGCTGGTTAAAACTCACCTACACACACACATTCAGACAGACACAAAAAATACATTGGTGATGTAGGTGGAGGGAAGAACTGGAAGGCAGTTCAACGGTCCTTGTCCACATGGTTCACTGAGATGATTCTTTTGGCTTGTCAGGAGCTGCTGCTATTTAATTTCTCTTC